GAATACCATAAGTGTTTAGTTTTTCCCCCTACAACCATATTACAGACAAGGGAACTATATTTAACCAAGGAAAATTATGTCTGATATACTAAAATAAAAAGTAATAATTGATTATAGCAATGTAAAAACATAGTCTGTATCAAGAGGAGTCAGGTGTGAATTTAAGGTGAAAAAAGCTCAAGTTCTCTGTACTTCAAGTTTTTTTCCCCTCTGTGAATTTAAGTTCATAGTAAAAATTATAGTGTGTTTGCTTAAAACAAAACAAACCACTTTGCAGTGTACAAGTTAGAAGGTGGGAAGCAAGGGTGTGCCTCTTGCACTTCCCAGCCCAATCTCCAGAGTTCACATTTCCATTCATTGTTCTGGACTTCTCCCTCTGCATATAAAATAGCAGTCACAGTCATGAGAATTGCTAACATTTCTTGAGCATTTCCAATGTTCCAGCTAATACAAAGCATGCATTATGCTTTCTTCCTTGTCAGCTTCCTCCTCAGTGCCTGCCACATAGCAGACATTTATTAGATTTTTTCTGAATGAATTCATTATCTGGCATAATCCTGAAAACAACAAAACAACCCTATTAGATATATTTCTATTCTTTTTTTGTTTGTTTGTTTACGAAACAGAAACTTATTTCTTACAGTTCTGGAGGCTGGAAATCCAAGAGCAAGGTGCCAGCAGATTCAGTGTTGGGTTTGCACTGAATCTTCTTGCTGTGTCATCACACGGTTTAGAAGGAGATGATCTCTCTCATGTCTTTTTTTATTGGGTGACATTGGCTAATAAAATATATAGGTTTCAGGTGTACAATTCTATAACACATCATCTGTATATTGTATTGTCTTTACCACCCCAAGCCATGTCTCCTTCCATCACCATTTATCCCCCTTTACCCTCTTTACCTCCCCCACACCCCTTTTCCTCTGGTACTGTTGTCTGTATCTGTGAGGTGTTTTTATTTTCTTAATCCCTTCTTCTTTTTCACCCAGCCCCCCAAACCTGCCTCCCCTCTGACAACTGTCATTCTGTTCTCTGTATCTATGGACTTCTGTTCTTATCCTTGTTTTACTGATGAGGAAATTGAATCCTAGAGAAATGCAATTACATTTTTTAGGTGATCATGTAGGCAGGTAAATTCTTGAGGTTTAACAACTTTATTGAGATGAGATTTTTACATACCATATAATTCACCCATTTAAAGTATACAGTTCGTTGATTTGATATATTCAAAGAGTTGTGCAATGATCCCCATGATCAATTTTAGGATATTTTCATCACCCAAAAAAGAAACCCTATACCCATTAGCAATTACTCCCTGTTCCTCTCAATCTCCTCAGCCCCTGGCAAGCACTAATCTACTTGCTATTTCTAGAGATTTGCCTGTTCTGGCCCTAGTTGTTGTGACTCAGTTGGTTGGGCATGCTCCCATTAACCGAAAGGTTGCCAGTTCAGCTCCCAGGTTGCAGGCTCAGTGCCTGGTAGGGGGCATGCAGGAGGCAGTCGATGTTTCTCACATTGGTGTTCCTCTCTCTCTCTCTCTCTCTCTCTCTCTTTCTTTTCCCCTTTCTCTCCCTCCCTCCCTCTCCTCCTCTCCCTTCCTCTCTCAAAATCAATTAAAAAATCTTAAAAATTTTATTTTAAGAATTTGCTTGTTTTGGACCTTTCATGGAAACGCAGTAATATAATTTGTGTTGTTTTGTTCACTCGGCGTAATTTCAAGGTTCATCCATGTTGTAGTGTGTTACTGCTTCATTCCCTTTTTTTTTTTAATCCTTACCTGAGGTTACTTTTTCTATTGCGTTTTGAAAGAGAGTGGAAGGGAGGGACGAGAGAGAAACATCAATGTGAGAGAGACACATCAATTGGTTACCTCCCGTACATGCCCTAACTGGGGCCAGGGATTAAGCCTGCAACTGAGATATGTGCTCTTGGCCAGAATTGAACCCTGGACCTTTTAAGTCCTCGGGCCGATGCTCTAACCACTGAGCCAAACTGGCTAGGGCTACCTTACTACCTTTTATTGCTGTTTAGTATTCCATTTTATGAGTAGGCCATATTTTGTTTATCCATTCATCAGTTGATGGACATTTGGGTTGTTTCCACTTTTTGGCTATTGTAAATAATGCTGCTGTGAACATTTGTTTACAAGTTTTTGTGATAACTTTCACATTTTTGAGATGCTGCCAGTGTTTTCCATAGCAGCAGCACCATTTTATATTCCGATCAGCAGCGTATGAGGGTTCTGATTTTTCCATATTCTCTCCAACATTGTTATTGTCCATCTTTTTAATTATAGCTGTCCCAGTAGGTGTGAAGTGGTATTTCATTGTGGGGGTGTGTGTTTTCTCATTGTGGTTTTGGTTTACATTTCCTTGATGGCTAATGATGTTGAGCATTTTTTTTATGTGCCTATTGGCCATTTGTAGATCTTTGAACTATCTATTCATACATATCCTTTCCCCATTTAGAAATTTGCTTGTCTTTTTATAATTGAGTTTTTTAAATCTTTATATTTTCTAAATACAAGTTCTTTATCAGAAATAGACTTTACAAATATTTTCTCTTGTTCTGTGGGTTGTCTTTTCATTTCCTTGATGGTATTATTTGCAGCACAAATTTTTAATTTTGATAAACTGCATTTTATTTTTTGTCATTTGTGCCTTTGGTGTCTTATCTAAGAAGTTTTTTTGGCTTGACTCAAGATTTACTCTTATGTTTTCTTATAAGAGCTTTATTATTTTAGCTCTTACATTTAGATCTATGGTCCATTTTGAGTTAATTTTGTTTATGGTGTAAGGAAGAGGCCCAATTTTATTCTTTCCCAAGTGGATATCCAGTTGTTCGAGCACCATTTGTTGAAAAGACTCCTCTTTGCTCCAGTGAATTGTCTGGGCATCCTTGTTGAAAATTGGTTGACATAAATGTAAGGGTTTATTTCTGGGCTCTTGTTTCTGTTTCATCGGCCTATACAGCTATCCTTGGGTCAGTACTACCTACACTCTTTGTTACTATAGCTGTGCAGTAAATTTTGAAAGGGGAAGGTGGAGCTCTTGAACTTCTTTCTTTTCAAGGTTGTTCTGGCTGTTTTGGGTCCTGTGCATTTCCATGTGAGTTATTTTAATTATTTATATCATATAGTTTATATTATCATATTCATTTATATTTATTATATCATATTAATTTATATTTTATGTTGTAATAGCTAATACTTTTAATATTTCTAGTACTTAGTATTTAATCTTTAATATACTATAATGTATTTAACTAGTCCATTTAGGATATTTTTCTATTATATTCATGATCTTGTGAACATTTCTGTACATACATTTGTCCATCCTTTTAGGTGTTTTCTTTAGGGTAAATTTCTACAAGTTCTGTTGCTGAATCAAAGAGCTGTTAGCAATTCACTGTTCCATCAAAAGGCTGACCTTGCCAGGACTCTGCTTTGGGGTGCTGTCATTCCTTCTTACTTCTGCTGTGTCTTACTGGAGACATTGCACTGCTTCTCAGCCGTTCTCCAGCCTTTTTGATTTGGGTGTGGTTTGTTTGTTCCGGTGCCATTCTTCTTTTTGGTTAGACTGTTAACTAGTTGGTAGGTGAAGCTGCAGTTTTGGAGAGTGGTAGTGATGTCCTCAGCCAGTCTTACTTGGAGTTGTCTTGTTATAAGTGTGTACCCTAGGTTCTGACTGCTGCTAATGTTAGACATTGTTGCAAATGCAGTAAACGTTGGCAGGTTTAAATGCACAGTGCACTTCATACAAATCCTTTGATGGAAGCAAATCAGTCCTTAAATGGGGGACTTTGATGCATAATTCTTTGTGGTGCTTTTAACTTGCCAGGAGACCCAAGTGTTTTGTGATGTTACATTATTCAAATACATTTCCCAGTGTTTGAATATTCACTTTAGACTACTGGTTTTTTTTAAAAATACAAAGAGGTGAAGATGTCAGTATTGTGGCCAAACACTGCAACATGAAACCAGAGATTCAGAAATCTTAATTAGCAAAAGCCAAATCAGTTTTAACAGTCAAGCCAACCTGAAGGCAAGCAGAGTATTTTCATTGTTAAAGAAGAAAATAGGCTTCTATGAGGCTCCCATATCCTGATACCCTTTTAAGAGGCTTTTAAAAACGCTCCCCCAACGCTCTGACCAGTGTCAGCAAAGTACGACTGAGACTGTTGGGCAGGGCAGCTCATGCTTTGTGGGGTTTCACATTTCATTTTCAGGACTATAACTTTCAATTAAATATAAGTTATTTCTGCTTACCCTATATTTTGTTTTAATGTTTTCTATCAGGTGTATCAGGTAGAGATCATTTTTACATGTCATTGCAATACATAATCTTATACTGTTTCATAATAATAAGCAACCGTATGTTGATTGTATATACAGTGGGGCAAAAGTAGGTTTACAGCTGTTCATATGGAAAATAATACAATTAATAAGTAATAATACAAGAATAAACTGTTCTCATACAACTGTAAACCTACTTTTTCAGCCCCCTGTATATAATTTTTTTTTAAGCAAGAAAACCCAAAATCCCTCTGAAACTTTTAGTATAACCGTTTCAGAGAAGTGATTTTATTATTATGGTCACTGGTTATTGTAAAACACATCAAATGTTATGAAAAAATACATAAAAGCTGATGATTTGGGGAATTGCCAGGACTTCAGATTTCTCATTTCTGAATCCTAAGGATTAGTATCTATTAGAAATTTGGAAACACTAACTTGGGGTCGGCCTTCATGGGCTAGCCTGGGACCTAGTGCTGTGTATAATGTTGCCCCTGGGCTTATGTTTTGAGAGTTACCTGTGTCTGCCTTGCACAGGGACTTTATCAGTTCATTTGGGTCTTTTCTATTTAGGCAATTACTTTATTATTTTCTATCTATTTGTTGATAAGCTGATGTTGAAATTCATCAAGGAACTGCTTGGTTTTCTTTTAATTCCTCAGAGAAGTGATGCCTTGTTGCTCAGCATAGCTTTCTTTTCTCACAGGGCATTTTAGAAGCGTCAAAGGCCAGAGCCATCCCTGTCGTCATTGATGCAGTGAGTGTGGCCTCTCCTCTCTTGTCCCCTCCTCACTGCTGGGTGCCCAAGGCCATGCAATAAATGGGAGTCTTTATTCTGTGCAGGACGGGCTGTGGCTGATCACTCAGCAGCCAACCCTCATCCAAGGCTACCAGAAGGCAGTTCTCACTCCTAACCATGTGGAGTTCAGCAGACTCTATGAAGCTGTGGTGAGTTTGTTGACCACCTGAAAGACAGGGGCAAGCCCTCGTCCTGAGGAGGGGCAAGGGACACGCTCTGTGGTTCTGCACCCACTGGTCCCCATAGGTGCATCTGCAGGGACAGACTTGCAGATGTTGAGTGGATGCATGCATGTTCTATGAGGCATTTTTCACATGCTAACAGTGTTGTGTTGGTTTTTTTCCTTGGTGGTACATGTAATGATGGGGCATCTTCCAGTCAGTGCATTTCTGATTGGATGAAAGGCAGGGTGGTGGGCTTGGGCCAGCTGCCCCTCCCGCTGTGTACTCTGGGTGGATAAGTCCATCCCTATCCTATGTTACCTCATTTGTGAAATGTGGATAATGGTAGCATCTGCCTCAGGTATGTGAGGATGAAATGAAATAATATATGTACTTTCATGAGTCCTTGCATATCAGGTGCCCCATAAATGTTAGTGCATTATCATTCAAAGTTGAATCCTTTCTGCAAACCTTTAAAATCCCAGCCATGGCTCCAGCTGGTTTGGCTCAGTGGTTAGAGTGTCAGCCCTTGGACTGAAGGGTCTCCAGTTCGATTCCAGCCGAGGGTACATACCTCAGTTACAGGCCTGATCCCTGGCCCTGGTTGGGGTACATGTGGGAGGCAGCCAATCAGTGTGTCTCTCTGACATCCATGTTTCTCTCTCTGTCTCTCCCCCTCCTTTCCACTCTCTCTAAAAAAATCAATGGGAAAAAAATATTCTCAGATGAGGATTAACAAAAAATAAAATAAATCCATGAGCAGCATTCCTTACCTTTGGTCTGACAAACTAGGGGATGGGCACAAGAGCAGTATTGCTACCCCGAACCCCTGTGTTGGCATCCACCTGGAGGACTTGCTCCCCATGATCTCCTCGGCCTCTCCAGCTGATGGGTGAAATGTAATGTCTTTGTGTGGGGGCTGTCTTATGCCTGGGGGATTGCCTTAGATATGAGAGTCTGAAGGTCAGGATGGATGGGGGGATGTTTATTGTATCCACATTTGTGGGCTTCTTTCAGGTGTCTAGTGACAACTTTGTCTGTGGTGTCCTATGTTGTAGCTAAGATACCCCGTGGATAGCAGTGATCGCCGTGGAGCTGTGCTGAGACTCAGCCAGGCCCTGGGGAATGTGACTGTGGTCCAGAAAGGGGAGCAGGATGTGATCTCTGATGGCCAATACGGTGAGTGGCCATGGGCTTCAGCCAGTGTGGCCATGCTGGGTACAAGCCCTAGGAAAACCTCATTCACATAGTACAGGTGCATTGTGTCACACACATTCACACATCACATGTGATCACTCATGTCTTACACACACACATCATATGCATCATGTGTTCCACAAACGGACTTCCTGATGAGCTTGTTAACTACAACTTCTTCAAAGTTCATTTTCATTTTTCACTGTTTTGCAGAGGAAAGTGACAATGGTCATCAATGTTGATCCTGGTTGATACCAGATGCACTGGCTAAAGTTCTCTTAATGATTGATAAATAGCCTAGTGGGAAGGTGGCTGTAACAGCAGGTGGGGCTCCAGAGTTCACACCCTGCCACCTCTGTCTTGCCTGCAACATAAATGAAATTATTTGAATATTTTACTGTATTTGTCCTATTTTATAAAAATGACTGGAAAGTGAAGAAACTCTAGGAGCTGACGTTAGCGATGGGGATTACCAGGTGCTGAATGTGGCAAATCTTCCAGTCACATTCTTTCCACAGGAGCCTGTGGACTGTTGAGTGAGAGCAAGATGAGCTGTCACACTTGCTCATATCTACACAGTGAGGTGTGTAATCAGAGATTGTATAACATCTTTAGCTCCCCAAAAACAGAAAAATCTGATCCGCAGGCAAAAAGTATACCAGTTATTTTAACAGTGAATTTAATACAAAGAACGGTCACCTAGGTTTAGAGTTGCTGACTAGGTCACAGAAATCAGGTCCAACAAAGAACAGAAGGCATCCTTAGTCACATATGTCTTACTCTCTCACGTGCTGGGCAGGAGAGAGAGTGTTTTCTGAGTGATCCTGAAACCTTTGGGTTCTTTTATTGCTGGAAAGTGCTCTAGACTCTAACCCATTCAGAACATACAACAACCTGTTTCCAAGGTATTTTCTAAAGAAATAGAAATTTCTCATTACACAGAAGTGAAGTCATGAGGATTATCAGCTGAGTCCGTGCAGGGGGTGCTAGCGCTGTGGGCATCTTCTTGAAGGTGGATTCTCTGGAGTGTGAGGTGTCCTGGTGGGCTTGGGTGCCTGCAGGACTGAGGGCCCCTGTGTGCTGTGCATGTTGTTCTCTGACCTCTGTTCCAGCAGATCCCTTGGCAGTTCTGAGTCATGTGTCCACATACCACCATACTGAACAAGTGGTTCTGGGGCAGCCTGACCTCTGCCTGCTTCAGTTTCTTCTCCTGTAAGACAGGCTTCCTTATTAGGAACAATTGGGGAAGAGCTGTAGATGACCTGGAACATGCCTTGAGCAGAGACGAGCCACTTACTCTAACACCTGTCTCACTTTTGCTCTGCAGTGCTCGAGTGCAACCTGCAGGGCAGTCACCGCAGGTGTGGTGGGCAAGGAGACCTCCTGTCAGGCTTCCTGGGCGCTTTGGTGCACTGGGCACTCCACGCTGGACCTGAGAAAACAAATGGGTATGGCTACATCTTCATCCAGCCTACTTTGAAATTTTTGAACTGTGTAAACTGTTCAAAACTGTTTTAGTAGTTCATACATTTCATAATTAGCCACTTGGAACATTCCAAATGAAATACTGGTGTTACTGTTAAGTGGAAGATATCTCAGGGCAGGGGTTGATCCCCAAATGTTTGCCTGGGGAGCTTCTACTCCCTATGTCTGGACCCCTTTCCATCATTCAATACCAGTGGGCCCCTAGCCTTTAAAGCTCTCCCGTTAACTCTAATATGCAGCCAAGTTTGAGAATACTGTTCTAGGAGGTTCGTTGCATACCTACTGTAAAACAGTATTAGAAAATACACAGGAAGAGGTAGAGCTTACCTCGACGCTGTCCCAAAAGGTGAGTTTTCTTTTTTTAAGAGGCAGCAGAATTTTAGGATCTGGGCTTTGGCCCACTTCTGCTTCTAGACAGCTTTGTGAGTGAACTCTGGCAGTTCCCACCCCTCCGTGAGCCTTAGTTTCTCTTCTCTGCACCCTTCATGGTGACAGTGATGGCCACATATGGTGGGGTATGATGTCCCGGGTCTGGAGTGCCCCTCCTGACACCTGGTAAAGCAGCGTTGGGCCTATGAGGTTGCAGCATAGCTGGCAGGCAGGGAGCACCCACCCAAATGGGCCCAAGAGGTGTGTGCACATGGAAAGGAGAGCTATAGCAGGAGTCTGGTAATGGTAGAAGAACCTGCATTCTCAGATCTTGAATATTCCCTCACATCTAAACTCTAACCAACAAGTCCTGGTCCAGTTTTCACCAGGGGAAAACTGCTGTGTTCTAACCTTCCTGTAGGTGAATAGGTATTTTTGATAGGCCTTTTATCAGGGAATATCAATGTCAGAGGATTAATGGTTATTTTAACTGTAATAAAGCTGCCTTTTGCCTCAGTGACCCATCAGACTAGAAATTACAAATTTGGGGTCTCAGAGTGGAACCAGGAAGGAAATCAGCGCCTTGATGACTTCAGGCCCCTGATGTCTGACAAAACCGTGGAGGGAGGACTTTCCACCTCCCACAGCTCCTTGCTATAATGCCTCTGCCCTCCAGTTTCAGCCCTCTCCTCGTGGCTGCCTTTGGTGCGTGCTCCCTCACAAGGCAGTGCAGCCACCAAGCCTTCCGGAAGTACGGCCGCTCCACCACCACTACAGACATGATCCCAGAAATTGGACCTGCATTCAGCAGACTCTTCGAAACCTGAGCCAGTGTAAATGGGAAGAAAGTGGGCACCATGATGGGAGAAACTGCATTCATAATGGGAAGTCCATGTCCAGTATGTCTGAATCCTCTGGGAACCAGAGCAGCATGGGCAGCTTGGGTTGATGTAGAGAATTTAAGAATTGGGAATGCAGCAATTTTTGGCTAAGTTAATATGCAGATCGAAATGTTATAATGACACTAACTAAACAAAGTACTCCTGAACTTTTGTTAGCTTCCCAACAATAACAAAAAACTGTAGAATCCTTTGAGAATGAGAAAGTCTTTAACCAGCTCAGCTGAATTACTGGGGTTGCTCCAAGATCGCAGAGTTCTGTTTTAGTCTCCCTGAGCTTATTTCTTATTCTCTGCCAAGGCACTTTATGTTTCTTTTATTTGTGCAAGAAGTTCCTCTTACTAAGTTCTCTCAAAGGGATCCAGTTGGTCGTTTCCAAATAGCTTTGAGAATAATGGCTTTTGTTTTTTTTAATTGAGATCCACCAAAGGATGTGGCATTCATTCTTTAGCTCATTTTTTTTTTTTTAAACAGTGATTATGTTGAAAAGGTTTGGGCAGAAATACTAAGCATTGGTTGTTTTGGTTAATTGGTTAAAGTATTCAGAATAACCAGTGGTCAGTTTGACTTTGGAAATCTTTTTGGAGGCACCATGGGAAAATCAGAGAAGGTAGCTTAATGGGACAATGCACAGGTCCGGACTGTGGAATACCTCATATCTTACTTCCACTTTGCCACGTCTGTGCACACAAGTATGTGTGGTGGCTGATGGGGCCCAGCAGAGTGTGTGTGAGTGGGAGGGGTGCCTGTTGTTCCTGATGTGGCCCATTGGTGTGACCTCTTGGGAGGAAGGCTTCAGGATACTGGGTCTGGTGGTAAATAGCATCAAGGGGTCCTGAGGGTACTGAACAGAGAAGAACAGCAGTCCTGGTTTGAAAATGGGTGGGGTAGGTTTGTCCTCAGGAAGATTTAGATTCCATTAAAGAAGTTGATATATCTGAAATTGTCGTGAGATGTTTTATTGTCTTATCTGGTTCACTTTGGTTGTATGGGTGGTTTTCTTAGTGGCTTGAGAGTGACTTGTTTTCTGTCGTCATTTCTCCATGGGGTTTGGTTCCTAACATATATCTGAGTGTACTCTTACTGTTTAATGATGCTTTGTACAAGGGCAAGACCTGTGCGGTTCCTTTAAAAGTCTGTCTGCCCGTGATGATTACATGTGGGTGAAGCTCTGTGGTTCAGCTATATCACGCTAAATGGATCCTACTTTCTTTAAACCAGGCATGAACTTTTAAGATTTCTTTAAAAGTATTTACCACTGTTATTTCACATCTAACTCCAGGAGTTTCACTACCTACATGCAAACTTCTCCAGAAAAACTCACGGACAGTTTTTCCTTTAATTAACATCTAAATCCTGGTAACTACTGAAAGGCAGGCCTGGTTTTTTTCCCAATGTAGAGTTTTATATATATTTTTAAACAGCCAAAGCCCATCTTTCAACTTTCCTACGTTGAGGATATTGTCAGGTATTAGGGACATAAACACTTAAAAGCTTGTTTGTCTAATGTGTTTTTCACCAGTGCTTACTGATATTACTACAATAAGTAATTTGCAGAATAAGCCTGAAATGTCACCATTTCTTTACATGGAAAGTAGAATTGAGCAGTCCCAGGAACTGTTCCTGTGTACTTGCTACTAAAGTTGTTGCTCTGATTAAGGACAGACCCCTTTGCTTAAAAGGGGGATAAGAAGTATATCCAGTGGCAGGGCCTGGCACTCTAGCATCTGAGGTCTTCACTCCACCATGCACTAACTGGGTCACTTTTAGCAAGTCAGCTTCCCTGCCGGTCTCCTCATCTGTAGAAGAGGAGCACCAATGCCTCTGAGGGTCATGACGGTCAGTGACAGTAAACATGGCTGCTGAGCCACACCAAGCTATCTACAACTGCCCAGCATGTGCTTACCTGCTGCCTGAGGCTGCACCCAGCCGGACCTGAGAGCTGGGGGAATTGGCAAGAGGGTCACCCTGTGTCCTTCTGGTTCACTGAACAGCTTAGCTCCCCACCTGAGCAGAAAGGTGAGGGGACCAAAAGCAAGGCCAGGAAGCTCAGTCCCAGGTTATCTGCTGTGTGCCTTCCTGTGCATTTGGCCTCCTCTGTCATAACCCTGTGTCTTATGCCCCATCCAACTCCTCCAGAATGACCCTCCCCAGTTCATCACTGCCCAGCACTTGAGGTACAGGCTGCTTCCTCCTGCTTTGGAGCAGGCAGCATGGCCAGATCCCCCCCAGGATCCTCTCAGGATAAGGGGTGTCCTAGAAGCTATTGCCGGTTGGCCCCATTCACAGGTCCCACCTGTCTTCCTGTGATGTCCTCTGGGACCTCCATTTAGGACTTACATCCTGGGCTCTGGCTCATGGACACAGGCTGGCTGGGTTATATCACAGGTGATAATGTTGGCTGATTAAGCTGCACTCGAGTCTGTGGCTGTTGGTACTATAAAAAAATCCATTATTTAGACATAGTTACTGACACACCAATAGGATGATATTGGTTTGATTTATTTTAATGTTGACTAAATAGCCACAATGGAAAACTTTAATGTAAAGCTTCTATAGTGACATAAGCGTAGAACCGCATTGAGAGCCTGTGGTTCCACTTCACGCATCCTCAGCTCCCAGGTTTGTGGTCTTCTGACCTCTGACCCAGCAGTTCCCATGTGGATGTGCTGCTCCTGTCCTGGGGGTTGGGGAGGAAAAAGGTCCTGGCTTAGCAGGCTCACTCAGCTCAAGGATTAAGGGGGTGAGATAGTTAGGGCTCACAGTGACAGGACACACTGCCTACACCCTGATGCTTCCGCTGGTCTGGGCTGCATGAAAGGAAGCAGCTGGACACTTAGAAACAGTCATGCTGCTGCGTTCCATTGGCAGGCTGGGGCAGGGCCACTGGAGCGGGAAAGGGGACTGAGCAAGAACACAGGTCTGCTCCTGTGTCCACCCAAGTCCTCGAGTGCACATGCCCCTGGGCCTCAGTGTCCCTCCAGGTTCTGACTCTGACCATCTCTCAGGTCCCCCCACCCTCAGTGTCCCTCCTGGCTCTGACTCCATCCCTTCCTACTTGTCACAGGGTGGGTTTCTGTGCTCACAAGCAGCATTAGCACAGGGGATGTCTGAGCTTTGACATTCCCCCATGTTTGCATGATGCCAGCTATTTACACAGCATCTTGGTGGTCATCCCCATTGTCACTGGGCCTTGGTGGCAGTGGCTCACCTTAATACTGATGCCATATGCAGCAAGGTCCTGGCGCAGGGTATCACATGCTTCCAGCAGGGGCTGCCTCTCTAGGAGCTGCTGCCGCCGGGCCTCCCTGGTAGCCTCTCCCGTGGCCAAGGCGAACTGCCGGACCTTGAGCCGGAATCGGACCAGCTCCTCCACCACACTGTGCAAAGTGGCTGAGTTGCTGTCCCCTGAAATAAACTACACCCAGGTGGAGTGGTGTAACCAGAGAGATCCTGGCAACAGCCCAGACGGCCCTGCCCAGCTGATGGGGTGGTGAGTTCTGCACTAAGCCCATCCAGCATGCATTCTCGGCGCTGTGGGGAACTCTTGGCCAGCCTGGGAAGAGAGGCTGTGAAGTTCCAGGCTGTTGGCAAGTCTCCACTCCTCTCCTTAATGTCTGTCTCACCCAGGCAGAGCTCTCTGATGCCATTCAGGGCACCTACCACAGGCCTCGGAGTAATCTCAGGGGCGAGGCCTAGAGCTGGCTTCCCTCCCTTCAATCCTGAACTCACACTGACAGGCTGGGCGCAGCTGCTTCACGGATGTGCTAACATCTAAAGACGCTTCATTATCATCTAGTTCACTAGGCAGAGTCTGGAAGTCTAAGCCTTATTGACCAATGAAACCAAATCTGTTCACTTTAACCAAGTATTTAAAACAATGTAGACATACTACATGACACACAATGTTTTCACTGGATAGTTCTCAGTGCACAGCTAGAGAAATTTCAATAGGTCAAATGGGATTTAAACTGCTCTCTCTCTCTGAGGATCAAGTCCACAATCAGCATGTGCCCTGACCTGGAATTGAACTGTGACTTCCAGGTTCATAGGTTTACCCTCAACCACTAAGCCACGCCAGCTGGGCATCTTTTAAGCATATAAACTGTCATTCTAATTATCCATTAAAAAGGGGGAAACGGTCCTTATTGGACTAGCTAGTAAATATCCCACAACTGAGACTGAAAAGAGGTGTACCTGCCGTCGTTCTGCCAGAGAAATTCCAACAGTTTCAAAAAACTGCTCAATATAGGAGATGATGGAGCCGAACACAGCAGGACTCCTAGGACTACCAGGTTCCTGTGACATTACACAAAGAAGGATCTTTAAAAGCAAAGGACACTCAGTGTAACAGAGCAGAGACCTCACAGTCATTTCTGCCTGTCTCACCTCCATGAGACAAGCCCTGGCAGGAGACACTGGACTAACTCCTGGAGCTGCCACTCACTAGCAAGCCAGATGACCACGGGGCAGTAACTTAATCCTGCATCCAAGTTCACCCATCCGGAATATGGGGATGTGTTATGGTCTGAACGCTTGTGTCCCCCCAGATTCATCCACTGCCCCAGGGTGACGGTGGTATTAGGCGATGGGGCCTTTGGGAGGTGACTGGGTCATGAGGGCAGAGCCTCATGAGTGGGATTGACACCAATGCCCAGAGAAGGGCAGTCAGGGTTCCAGCATAGGGCTTCCTGCCCTATTCCATGTTTTAGCAGCAAACTCAGGTTCCTCAGAGCAAGCAGAAGAGTGACATGCTCCTGTACTAGCAGCCATGGAAGGTCAGCTCTCAGTGTTCTGGGGCCTCCCTGTGCCCCACTTATACCCGTATCTACTGCTCTGGGCTCTGGGAGGTGGCTGTCTCTTGCAGGGCCACCAGGGCAGGCACATGTGGGGTGAAACAGCTTCAGGAACGTAAGGGAAGGTTAGAGAGGCCTGGAAGCCACCAGCTGTGGGAGGTGGTTACCAGAGGGAGTTGGGTAGATGGCATCTGCTCCTTTCCTATGAGGAAAAAACAGCCAAACAAAGCCCCTGCTTTGTGGCTATGTCCTTGGAGTTACCTTAGTAACCACCTTCAGCTGTCTGTTCCCCTGGCGAATGAGCTCCATGACAGCATCCACCGCCTGGGGCGTGTCAAAGTCATCGGCCAAGGCGGCCTTCACAGCAGCCTTGGTGTGGCTGAGCCTTGGAGAGGAGAAACCACCTCATCACTCACTCCCTGGACCCAGCCCGCAGCAGGTGGCCTCCCCTCAGGCACCTGCAGGCTTGTGTCCCACTGTCCCCCTGGTAGCAGGCCTCTATCTCCTTTCCTCCACTGGCAGACCCCTCAAGAGCAGTCTCCATGATAGTCATCCTCTCCTTCCCTTCCCAGCCCACAAGGAATCTCGGGTCCCCTTGGCCTTCCTCCTCTCGCGCACTTCAGGTCCCCGTTTCCTGTGGCACTGTCAGGTCCCCTCAGCCCCCTTCTCTCACTCTGCATGTTCTCACCTGCACACCCACCACCTGTCACTGACCCCTCCAAGGCTTTACCTCCACATCTAACTCCCTGCTGCCCATCTTCACTGGTCTTAGCCCCACGTCCTTTGGATTCCCCCCTCTCCAGGCATGGGGAAGGACTGGGGCTGGGCCACCCTGCAGCTGGGTGGGCTCTGGGACCAGTTCTGGCCATTGGGAGAAGCGGCGTCCACATCAGGGCCAGAGCGTTGAACTGCAGAGGCAAAGCCCCTGGAGCCCTCTCTTCCCTCTGGCCTGCGCCCTCGTGGTGACAAGGGCCCGTTTGTTACACACTAATAAATACCAGCGGGAAAATCCATCCAGGCACATGTGCTACTTACAACCTTTACAGCCACCCACAGGCAGGGCCCCCTCATTTCACACCCAGTGGAACGGCAAGCTTGCCCAAGGCCACAGAGCCAGAAGGACCTTCACACCAGCACTCCTGAGTAAGTGGCCTTAGTCTCCAAAAGCCTCACTTCCCCCTAGGCAGCCCCCTGCTCAGGGCCCAGGGCTCTGTGGGCAGATCCTGGGATAGCACCCACCTCTCCCACAGCACGTCTTCCCTGATGGGGCCGCACACCAGCTGCCCCTTCATGTAGGCCCGAGCATCCTCGACGAACGCGGCCACCGCCCGGAGGAGGTGCTGTGCTTCCAGCATGGTACTGTCGCTGTAGTCGATGGCTGAGGAGGGGGGAGGTGGTTACCTGGGGTGCCTGTTGAACGTGCCAACACCTGGCAGACCCAGAGTTTCTTCGCAAGGCCATCCTCACACCACTCCGGAAACCCAGCAGTGGAGAAAGGACACGGCTGCTCCCTATCCCGCACCTCCTTGAGGCCTGGACCACGCAGAGCACCAGTCTGTCCTGACTCAGGTGTCTCACCACCTTGGAAGAAACATGGAAAACCTCTCCCAGTACATTTTGGCTGAGGGAGCTCATTCCCGCTGACAGATGGACAGACAGCTGACTCTGGGAACTGGGAAACATCCACTCGGGTACCTGAAGCAGCTCAAAGACCAGCTGGTGCCATGAGGGCTCTGGGCTCAATACTTCAGGAGAGGGAGAGAGGATTAGACATCAGACTCAGTGTTTATATGAAGATATTTAAGAACACATGCTCCCTGGGGGCCAGCCCACCTGAGCCACTGGACATCCATGTCCAGGCCCCCACAAAAGGCACAGCCAGAGTGGTGGAAGTGGGTGGGCTACTCCCCAAGTGGTGGAGGTTAATGTCCTGGGGTATCGTGCCTCAGTACCACAGATCTGGGGGTTCAAAACAGCAATTTATTCTTTTGCAGTTCTAGAGGTAAAAATGACTGGAATCAAAGGTCAGCAGAGCCATGCTCTTTCCAGAGGCTCTAGGGAGGGTCCTTCCTTCTCTCTTGCAGCTTCTGGTGGCCCAGATGTTCTTGGCTTATGACTGCATCACCCCAATCTTGGCCTCCCTGGTCACACAGTCATGCCCGGTGCACAAGGTGAGGAGCCCGCCTGCCCCTAAAGGGCACCAGCTCCTCCTGCAGTGCTGCAGATACAGGTGGCCATACTGCTATCGCCGTGGTCAAGTCAGTGCAGTGCCAGGCGTCCCTAGACCTGGCCTTCCAGGGTGAAGAAGTGACCTGTGGCCCTGGGGTCACGGCACTAGACAACTCCCCAGAGCAGCACACAGCAGTGCAGCACAGCGGGGACTGCCTACCCTGGGTGGGACCCCATCTTGGGGTCCCACATACAGTCCCTGTGTGAGGACAGCCAGTCCAATTCTGTTCATGATGCAGAGAGTGGAGGGCACTCTGGGGTCCCGACTTGTCCAGACCCCACAGAGAGGGAGAAGTGGGGGGCAGACGGGGAGGACTGACTGAAAAACCCATGGCGCCTCCATAAGCTTCTGGAATCTTCTGGCCAAGTGCTGGTATAATGCTTCCTCGGGCTTACTTTCAGAGCCCAAACCTTAGAGGATGAAAGCAGCCACACTAATGAGACTGCTTAGTCCCCCAGCTGGTATTTTGGTATTTGCCACACAGTCGGAATAGCCTTTCCTGAGCTATGCACGAGTAGATGCCGTAGCCATCACCCCCCGGCCTTGCTGCGCAGCTCACCTGACCTGTAGCCGCTCCGCATGCAGAAGAGCCGGAAGGCATCGGGGGAAAACGTCCTCAGGAAGTCCTGCGGGAGAAGCGGGGCTGTAGTGCTTGTCTGCCACATGCATCGCTCGAGACTGTATTATTTACTGCAGTGACATGAGCTGTCTCACACACCGAGAAATCAGGAATGTTTATGCAAAGCTTTGCTTTGTTTCCAAGCTCACTCTTAGCACTCTGTCCTGCCATTTCCCTGATGACTGTCCACGTTCTGTCCCTGGGTCTGTGGGAAAGGCCGAGAGAAGAGGCCCGTTCACCTGGGGATCCCGCTCCACGCAGGCACAGCAGGAACCTGCTCTGCTGTTGGCCTTCAGAGCTCTTTACCATGACACAGTTTTCTCACCTGTCATGAGAGGACAGGGACAACCAGAGGTCACCAGCAGTCCGGGAAGCACAGAGGGATTGCGCGCAGGAAGGGGCGCGGGGAGGAGGGACACACAGCTCCCGGCTGTGTGAGGGACAGGGTCCCAGGAGCAGGACGGAGACTGACCACAAAGCTTGGCCATGATAATGTCCGAACAAGCAAGGTGCACGCTCAGGGTTGGACTGAGGGGCGGAGGCCCAGCTCATTCCAACGACCAGGCTCTGAGGCCCTGAGCTTGATGCGGGCCCCACACTCGTGTTTCTTGAAGAATAAACCATCCTGCATCTGACTAAACATAAGTAAAATAAAAACCCAACTTGTATCATCCTATAGGTTATTTCCACAATGTCTACATAAAGAAGTTAAAATTTCCACATTAGAAAGGGTAACATGGAGAAACTTGGGAGAAATCATTAAGACAGCACAATGTTCAGCAAAACCTGTCCGTGGTGGTCAGTGGGAAGTTCTGCATGACTTTAAAGGGCTACGGCACAGGGTGAGGGAAGCTGGGGGAAAGGGCCCAGCCTCACGATGGGCTCCAGTGTGGCCCCAAGAAAGACATTGGGGCTCTGCTCAGCCCTGCCAGGGCCACCCACAGTGACTGTGCCCCTGACTAGCCAGTGCCGGGCACCAAGGGAAAACAGGCTGGGGTAGGACTTTGACAACAGGGAGTCTGAGTAAAAACCAGAACCATCCTGCTCCTTTGTCAAGGATTCTCAGTGAGTAAACGGAGATATTCTCAGCGCTTCTGCACATCTGACCACCCCTACTTGTTCAGTGGTATCTCTGTCCTCCCCTCAGCAACAGTGACCCAGCATGCAACAGCTGGGAGAAAACACCTGGCCAGGACCCTGTGCCAAGTCTGGTCAGGTGGCTCCTTGGTGGGGGTTTAGGGACGCTGTTTAGAAACAAGCCAGACTGGGAGCACCTGCTCTGGCTGCATGCTGGCTTTGGTGCAGGAACTTACACTAAGGGGACAGCTGGGCACACCAGCAGGGTTAGACAAGGTCTGCCTCCTGGAAACAGGTCTCCGGCAGCACCTGGGCTGGCAGCCACGCTGTCCTAACTACCACTGGCCTAAAGACCAGTCTCCCGCTCCTGCACAATCCAGTCCCCTGGCCTTCACTGACCATCTGAGGTGGCTCGGCCTCTGTCCCGCTGTTAATCCTCACACACACACCTACACACAGACAAATACAGTCACTGTTCTGACAAATATAGAAAAAGTAGCAAATACAGCAAAATAATAACTCTTGAATCTATGGTGAGTATATGAGTATTTCTTTTAACTTTTCTGTATGTTTGAAAGTTTGTATAAGATAATATTAGAAATTTCTATTAATGAAAAGTACATAAAGATTATTTTGTGAGGAGCACTCCCCTTTTGGTTTATTCTAAATCTGGTGGGAATCGCTTCAGCGGTTGGGTATTTAGGTGATGAAGGTCTGATTACTATCCCTGTCAACTACGTTGGGCATTACAGACCCAAAGACAAAGGCAGATCAAACCTGTCCCAGTGCTCTGCTGGTGCGCCGGTTTGCCACTGGTAAGGAAATCCACACTGCAGTCTGCATTTCCGCAGCGCAACGCGCGGTCTCAGGTAGGCAAGAAGCCAGCGAGCAGCAAAACGCAAACCAACCAACCCCAAGCTGCGCCAGATAGGAGGCTGGACGGGATGGGGGGCAAAAAAGGGAGGAAGGGATCCAGAAAATGTAATTCAAAAGATAAAATTGTTATAAACAGAAGAGGGAAGAAGGAGGTATGAATCTTGCAGTGCAAAAGGAGGCCAAAGTCCACCAAAAAAGCCGGCAGAAAACGGAGGGAAGAGAGACCGGGAAACAGAGAAATACCACTGTGAACTTCCNCCAAGTCTGGTCAGGTGGCTCCTTGGTGGGGGTTTAGGGACGCTGTTTAGAAACAAGCCAGACTGGGAGCACCTGCTCTGGCTGCATGCTGGCTTTGGTGCAGGAACTTACACTAAGGGGACAGCTGGGCACACCAGCAGGGTTAGACAAGGTCTGCCTCCTGGAAACAGGTCTCCGGCAGCACCTGGGCTGGCAGCCACGCTGTCCTAACTACCACTGGCCTAAAGACCAGTCTCCCGCTCCTGCACAATCCAGTCCCCTGGCCTTCACTGACCATCTGAGGTGGCTCGGCCTCTGTCCCGCTGTTAATCCTCACACACACACCTACACACAGACAAATACAGTCACTGTTCTGACAAATATAGAAAAAGTAGCAAATACAGCAAAATAATAACTCTTGAATCTATGGTGAGTATATGAGTATTTCTTTTAACTTTTCTGTATGTTTGAAAGTTTGTATAAGATAATATTAGAAATTTCTATTAATGAAAAGTACATAAAGATTATTTTGTGAGGAGCACTCCCCTTTTGGTTTATTCTAAATCTGGTGGGAATCGCTTCAGCGGTTGGGTATTTAGGTGATGAAGGTCTGATTACTATCCCTGTCAACTACGTTGGGCATTACAGACCCAAAGACAAAGGCAGATCAAACCTGTCCCAGTGCTCTGCTGGTGCGCCGGTTTGCCACTGGTAAGGAAATCCACACTGCAGTCTGCATTTCCGCAGCGCAACGCGCGGTCTCAGGTAGGCAAGAAGCCAGCGAGCAGCAAAACGCAAACCAACCAACCCCAAGCTGCGCCAGATAGGAGGCTGGACGGGATGGGGGGCAAAAAAGGGAGGAAGGGATCCAGAAAATGTAATTCAAAAGATAAAATTGTTATAAACAGAAGAGGGAAGAAGGAGGTATGAATCTTGCAGTGCAAAAGGAGGCCAAAGTCCACCAAAAAAGCCGGCAGAAAACGGAGGGAAGAGAGACCGGGAAACAGAGAAATACCACTGTGAACTTCCGAGACAAAAAAAAGGGTAATTTAGACCCTGGAAGTAGGAGAAGCCCCTCAGGGCCGCGGGGAAGGGGGCAGGGAAATGGAATCAGAGGTGCGGTGGCATCTATGCGTGCGCCTTAAACAGGTTCAGCAAGCGGGCAGCAGCCAGGCGCCACGGAGAGCACATTACCTTAATAGTAATGTAGTTTTTCAGTGATTTGGACATTTTTTCTTCTTTGCCTTTCACATGCAAATGTCCTGAAACAAAAACAAATTCATCTGCACTGGGTGGGAAGAGGGGGATGCTCCGTCCCATCTGTAGAGGGGAAGACGGGGAAGTTTCTCCAACAGGTGCCTGAGCCCCAGCGCTCGATGCAGCTGCCCAGAAAACGAAGGAAACAATAAATGCTGTGTTCTCCAATATGCAAATACCCATGTATATGTGGATATAAGATTTCCCCAAATCTTCACCCACAGTCAGCCCTCCAGGAAGATGGAGCCCGCAGCTATGCTGGTTCGAGGGTGTCAGGTACACCCAGCACCACAGCGGGCGATGGACAGGAACCACTGCTGACTCAGAGCTCAGACAAGAACAGGTGAACCGTGACACACAGAAACAGCTCACACTTTCCCCTTTCCTGTAACTTAGAAACAACGATTTAACTGACTCAACACCTGAAGACATGACAAATCTCTGGTTTTACAAACCAGGCACCGGGTAATAAAAGCTGTTTGCAGATGTTCAGAACTGCAGGGTAGGGCTTGCGGGTCTATGGGACTGAGCAATTAGATTTTCTGTTGCAAGTGGATTTCCCAGACTTATCAAGACCTTGGCATTATTTCACCCCCATGGATGTGAAAGGCCAGAGGGAAACCAAACCCATGTCGGGAACTTCTCAGTGGGAGCCTGGAATTCTTCCTGGGCTGTATTTTACAAGGTTCACTTCCAAGGGAGGGCCTCTCCTATCCTAACAAGATTCTTCAGCTTTTTCTGACAGGAGTTCTGAGAACTGGTTAAAATGTAGCTTCTAAAAAGAAATGTCACCTTGACTATGCAATACTATATAACGTGTCAGGTACACCGAGCACAATTAAAATTTTTTAAAGTTGACAATATCTGGAAAACAACACATCTGACTAATGAACTCTGTCTTCCATCCATTTATTTCAGAAAAAAAAGTATTAATGTAAAGACACATATATCCCTATGTTCATTACAGCATTATTCACGGTGGCCAACCCATGGAAACAACACAAGTGTCCTTCACTGTATGACTGGATAGAGAAGACGTGGTACCTATATACAGCGGAATGTGACTCTGCCATAAAAGTGATAAAATACTGCCATTTGCAGTAACATGGATGGATCATGAGAGCACCATGCTAAGTGAACTAAGTCAGACGGAAAACGACAAGAACCATATGGTGTCACTCATGTGGGGTATAAAACAAAGTAACAAACAGTCTCACAGTGGAATGGAGAAGAGTTCAGTACTTAACAGATGGCAAAAGTCACAATAAAACACAGCAACAAAACCCCTTTGCCATCCACACATTTAAAGGTAAACAAGACCTGCTGTTTTATGGACACCAACACCTTGTCATTAGCTGACAGGCTGAAGAGGCGTCAGTGTTAGTACTGCTGAGCTACCTTTTTGATCCCTCCCTGAAGGGCACCCTGCATTTCACAGTGTTCATAGCAAACCGTAACTCCTCAAGAGCACTAACTGATGCAGTGTCTGCAGAGGGATCAGGCTCTAACTTCCCAGGCAGTAATACGGTGGAAGTAAAATATGGAACCAGGGATCGTCAGGCTTTTGTCCTTCTACTTAGGGAATCTGGCCAGCAAGGCACATCACTGGCAGAAATAAGGTGGATTAGGCAACTGCCCAGTTCTACCCAGGGAAATGGAGTGGAACACTGGAGACCTCCTATGCTGTCCACAGCAATTCGTCCAGGTTTGTTTCTTTTCGGGCTCCTTTAGGGCAGTACAGAAATGAGTCAGTCATTGCAGAGAATGGAGAAGCTTGTTCCCGGGGCACTCTGAGAGCACACACACCGTCAGGGCGGGAATGACACCAGGGCAGCTCGAGGGTAAAGGAGACACTGCAGTAAGTGCACCTTGGGGCAAGCAGCCATCAGTTTACTGCCTCGAAGAAAACCCAAGTGAACCCTTACTCCAGACTTTAAGTAAGCAGCCTCCTGCATGTTATAAAGCTGGAGTGTCTCTGCATTTAACACTGGACAAACCTAATTTCCTTAATTCAAGGACTTACAGAAATGGTATTTGTTAATGCACTGTGTTTTAGACATTGATTATCTGCATCTCCCAACCCTATTACTACCAAACACCCTTTATCTTTCTTCACCCCAAATACCTTAGCTGTCCATTCTAAAAAGGTAATAAAGCCAGTTCATCATTGCCGTATGACCTGTGTTATGAATCTTCCCGTGCATCAAAGGAAATTCCAAAACTGCTATGCTCAAAGATGCTGCTTGTTTCACAGTCTGCTTCTGAGAAGATGGCTGGTGTTAACCAACTATAGTTTTTGAACAGTGAAATGAGAGACAGTGGTACTAGAAGATGATAGATACATATGGGGACAACATCATAACTCAAAATTGGCACATTCCTAACAATGATTACATCACACTGTTTCAAATTCCTTAATAGTTGTATTAGAAAGAAACTTATATTGAACTGCATTGTAAAAGCTTTTCAATATCCTTCTCATTCATATTTCAGTTCCAAAAAGGCAGGCTCATTCCCATCCAAGGAAGTTCATGTCCAAATGACTGAAATTCAAAAACAGTTTAGGAGACAACTGTTTCTTGACCTATTTTAACTGATCTATGCATTTCCAAATGTAGCTGTTTCACCAAAAAGATGAAATTGACAGAAATGAAATAGAACAAATTAATCTGAAGTCACTACTTACCAGAATGTAGAAAATAGTTTCCCCATTGCTGGCACTGATGAAAGACCTCACACTGTGCGATTTCATTTTCATGATGCGGAAAAGCGAGGTCTATCCCACCTGAGTGGATATCCAGTTGACTTCCAAACACCAAACTGCAAGACACAGCACAGAGCTCTGAATTAATTCAACCAAACAACACATTTCTCCAAACCATGTCTTATATTTAACCTTTCCAGCCTTTGTTGCAAGGAATAAATTAAATAGATCTCAATTTTAAATCAGTATATGTCAAAATTTAACTGATGAAAACAGAAACCTAAATCCTGTTTTTACTTCATAAAACCCCTCATCCACAACTTTCCCTCCTACTAAGGACACTCAATTCATAAAAATCCCTAATTCAAAGCTTTTCCAGCTAGTAAAAAAATTTAATTATCTTTGCTTCAGATATATGGTTTTTGAAAAACTTACAAAATTACCTTTTCTTACTTCCAAAAGTTTAGTGGTTTTCCAACTTTAACAAGAGAGACAGAACTATGAAATTAAGAGAATTTTTAATGTGGTTTTTAAAAATTTAACTATTTAGCGTTCATATTTGATAAACGAGGTAACAGAATTCAAATCAATGCACTTCAGCTGTTGGCATTTCTGCTATGATGCTATACATCCTGGAAAGCCTCATGCCCTACAAAACTGCACACTATAACTAAGCAGGCTAAAGGGACAGTGCAACTGGCCAGACCACTCAAAGCTGTGCAACTCTCAGCAGACCGCCTGCGAAAATTACCCGTACCAGCGTGAACAATCCAGGTTCATTAGCGCTGCTTCCAAATCTATTAAATATGCAAAAATCAATTAAAAACACAACAGTCAGTGCAGTGGAAATCCTGGTTTGTGGGGGCTGGGGTGATGAGGCCACCTCCCCCAGCAGACAGCGAGGCTGGGGTGCAGACAGTTGTGCATTTTTAAAAAATGGTTCAAAATAGACATTTTCAAAGGTGCCACAGCCTCCCTGAGGTTCCTTCCTGCTGAAGATTGATTCTTCTACTGGCTCCTGGAGCTCCAGAAAAACCCGCACCTGTACCAGCCACATTTTAGCTAAGTGGTGGCAGAGACACTTGCTGTGGCTCCTCGGGTCGTCTATTATTGTACATCCTCAGCGATGGGCGTTAGAGAATCTTACAGTCCTTGAAATTCAAATGCTCTGAAGAACAGTGTGTGGTGGGAGGGACCAAGATTGAGTAGGAGAGCATAAGGGGCCTCCTTTGTAATGTGTGATTCATTTTTACAAAGATCCGAAGCAAATATGATGGTAAGATTTAATAAATCTAAACTGTGGGTCCACAGTGTTCATTATATTAGTCTCTATTCTTTCCTGTACATTAGACCTATTTTAAAGTAAGAGAAAGCTGAGAAGGAATAAAAGTCTATTTTCATTATTTAGATTTCAACAAAATAAAATACTTAATGGTAACATTAGATTTAAAATTTATTAATGGTTTCTACCTGTGTTAAAGTAACTAATTGAATCTAAAAATAGCGTTTTGTTTTTTACAATCCAATGTATATCTCACATTGCTCTTAAACCAACAAGTATTTATAAATACATATAAGTGGTTATCTATTTGTGTATGACTGTGAGCTGGACATTGTTTGTTTTCAATGAAAAGTTAGTCGCATGCTTCATAGTAACACGAGAGTTTGATGTGGAATTCCTGGGTGTGTTTCTAGATGGGCCACATAGAAATCATCAAAGGTGAGGGCAGCAAGGGGGGATGTGGTGGAAAGGAAGAATGCTTTCTGGGTCTTAACCAGAATGAACACAACCTAGATGACAGGTCATGGAGGACGAGGCTTTTCCATCTACGTGGGGCTGAAAATGAAACCAGTGTGGGGTCGGTACATGGGGCAGAGTGCTCTTATAGAAGGCAATTACCCCTACTAACGTGTACGTTTATACCCAGCCAGAAAATGGCACCACATACAACAACCAATTGAGGGTGACTGGGTTGGTTGATCTGAAAATTTTTGGTGTAGCTAGTAGTTTGCAATGTTTACCTTAAGCATACTTTATGTTTCTGATTTTAAAAACTTATAACTCCACTGTAAAAAAAATTATTATAATCTGATAAGCAAAATGAATTGACCAACAAAATAAGACCCGAGGCATGGAGGCAAGGAACAGAATGACATAGCTGGGGGGATACAGAGATAAACCAAAGAATTTACATACTTATATGCATAGCCCACAGACACTGACAATAGTGTGGTGAAGGCCTGGGGGGATAGGGGCTGGG